ATTTAATAATAAATCATCTTTCTTCCATTTCCGGCAGTCACAGCAAAATGTCTTTGGGCTGGCGAGGGAGATCTTTTGATACTTTGCTAGCACCAACCCTGCATGGGATGGGGATGGCAGGGGAGATCATCTGATCTTCCCTGCTGGCCTCGGTCCCTGGCCATCGTTAGCTACCTGGCATTTTTTTGCCCCAATTGCCAATCTGGGCCTGTCTGTGTGAATATCCAAGTCTTTTTAAAGTGCACCCTCTTCCCATTTCCAGTTTTCCTTTAAAAAAATCTGTGATATGCTGATGATTCAAGAATTTAATTGGAGAGATTTATCAAATTATAGCCGTCACCTTTCTATTTAATTTTCTATGCTATTTATTAAATCTGTTAGTTATTTGTATCTGTTGCTTTTTTTGCACTCTGATTATTTTTAAATATGTACTATTTTTCCCCAATGCAGTGAATTTATGGGTATTCCCACCACTTTTCCAACAAAGTGGTGGAATTTACCATCACTATAATTTGGCGGTCTTCTAAAATTGAAATTTCTGGAGGAATTTACTATAAAGAAATAGTCACTGTTAGATTAACAAATACAATCAAAATAATGACGGAACTGAACCTCCACTTTTCTTTACACTTTAATAAATATCTCTCAATGTGTCGTGGATTCTACTGTTTCATTATTATTGCTTTTAGACAGTTCAAATTTTATTGTTCTTGTCATTTGTCCAACTTCATTTTAGTCCGCATCTCCTTCTATTTTCAAGAAGATACAAATTAAGCCCACAGTTGTCCACATACATTACATTTTTGTCTGCTTTTTGAAAGTGATATTCCTGTGCCAATTGCTTTTATTACACTTATTAATAAAATATTTAAGTTTAGCACTAGTTTGAGTTTCATAAAAAAAACATTTCTTGGAAATAATGTAATTCCCTTTGTGGCACTCTAGGCTTTTTTGATGAACCTGGAACTTACCTCTAGGCTTACCAGATGCAGCAGTACTCTTTCAGTTGTTATGCTTTTCTCCGGTAAAAAATTTTTTTCCTGGTTTCCTTATCTTGCTTTGTGGCCTTGTGGACATTGAGAGCGGTTTCTGATCTTAATCCCTTATTCCCCAACATACATAGTTTTCTTTCTTCTGATGTATTTGTTAATGTATTTGACCTTATATATTCAAATGTAAATCTGTATAGTTTAGTAAAACAGCATTTCCAAAGGAATATGATCACATTATACAATTCACAATACAATTATATATTCACAGCCAATACAAACCATTGTCTGAAAATCTATTAATAAACAGGATTATACATAGGACACAAGGTCATGAATTTAGACTGGAAGAAAAGAGATTTGCAGGGTTATCCATTAAACACTAGATCTTGTCTGAATGGACAAAATCTGGTGAAAATTACTGAATTCTGATCGCATTGGCAATCCGTAGATTTACTAAAGCAAATGCAGTCAAGATTTAGTCAGTCTGACTGTTTGGAACACGTTTGGAAAATCTGTGATTTTTGCATCCCAAAAAATTTACAGCACCGGAGATTAGTGATGTCGCGAACCCGAAATTTTCGGTTCGCAAACGGCGAACGCGAACTTCCGCAAATGTTCGCGAACCGGCGAACCGCCCGAAACGCCATTGACTTCAATGGGGAGGCGAATTTTAAAACACACAGGGACTCTTTCTGGCCACAATAGGGATGGAAAAGTTGTTTCAAGGGGACTAACACCTGGACTGTGGCATGCCGGAGGGGGATCCATGGCAAAACTCCCATGGAAAATTACACAGTTGATACAGAGTCTGGTTTTAATCCATAAAGGGCAGAAATCACCTAACATTCCTAAATCACAATCAATATGGATTGACACCTGACATATGACATATTGACACCTTGACATATGGATTGACACCTGTCCTCAGAGCCCCTGATGCACACGGACACAGAGCAGAATAGAGACTGGTCCCCTACATAGGGTCACTTGGCAGATATGGATTGACACCTGTCCTAAGGATCCCTGATACACACTGACACAGAGCAGAATAGGGACTGTTCCCCCTACATCGGGTCACTTGGCAGATATGGATTGACACCTGTCCTAAGGTTCCCTGATACACACTGACACAGAGCAGAATAGGGACTGGTCCCCCTACATCGGGTCACTTGGCAGATATGGATTGACACCTTGTTACAAACTGCTATTTGTAACGGGCCCTTTAAATGGCAAATTGCCCTGCTTCCCTGGGTTGTGGAGAAGTCTACTTGCCAGCCTCCTCCCACATGACTATGGCCCCTGGGAGATTGTGAAAATGTATGCACTTTTATTTGGTGTGTATGGCCCTTTAAGACTGTCGGTGGGCATATTGGGGCTTATGGACTCTTTATGTGACTGGTGCTGGCCCTTTAAACACCTTTTTTGGGACATCAGGAAGATTGGGACACTGCCCCTTTAAGGCCGTGTCCCCAGACTTGTTGGGGACACGGCCCCTTTAAGACGGTGTCCCCTGTGTCCCCAGACCTGGTGCAAACCCTTTGTGCCTGCCTTGCTATTTCCCACTTGGTTCAGTAAATGGGAAATTATTTCAGCTGCAGAGACTAAGTCCCATTCGGCGATGGGACTTAGTCTTTTTTTCAGCCGTTTTTTTCAGCCTTATTTCAGCTGCAGAGACTAAGTCCCATTCGGCGATGGGACTTAGTCTTTTTTTCAGCCGTTTTTTTCAGCCTTATTTCAGCTGCAGAGACTAAGTCCCATTCGGCGATGGGACTTAGTCTTTTTTTCAGCCATTTTTTTCAGCCTTATTTCAGCTGCAGAGACTAAGTCCCATTCGGCGATGGGACTTAGTCTTTTTTTCAGCCGTTTTTTTCAGCCTTATTTCAGCTGCAGAGACTAAGTCCCATTCGGCGATGGGACTTAGTCGTTTTTTCAGCCTGAAATAGACCGACCTCACAGCCCAAATCTATGGAACTGTTTTGGGCAGGAAAATGTGCTTGCGGTCGGTCATAAAGGGACCTCCAGCTAACTTTTTAACCCCTGGATGGATTTGGCTGATTTTTGGTTATGTTTATGTTTTAAGTGTGCTGATTCCAAATATGTAATTATGAAGATGGGATGTGTAGTTTTAAAGTTACAGGGTATGGCTAAAAACTGTATTTTTACTGCCTGTGTTTAATTATGTTAATCTCTTCCCAAACGTCATTTCGTTCAAAGTGGAGAGAATGTTAAAAAAATATATTTTTGTTCGGAGTGTGAGAAATGCTTTTCAGCCGCTTCTAATCTTAAGCATCATTTGAGGAGCCATACAGGAGAGAAACCTTATTTGTGGTGTGTTTAGTATTGTTCTGATCAGTTTAATACCTTCCGCGTCTCCTATCAGTGGACGTGTATATGGCAGCCATTTTAGGAACCGTACACCTGGGACCCGAGCAAGGTCACCTCGTTCAACAGGCGACAACATTTGTCCCTGGAAAACTATCCTGGACATTCTGTACAATTTGTGTGGATATGGCAGTGATTTCTGTAACAGGGAGATGGAAGAAGATGCTTGGTCGGTCCTCTTAATTCAAATTTGGGGCACTGCGCGGTCAAGCTAATGTGCCACCAGATAGGAGTGGTGTGTTTAGTATTTTTCTGATCAGTTTAATACCTTCCGCGTCTCCTATCAGTGGACGTGTATATGGCAGCCATTTTAGGAACCGTACACCTGGGACCCGAGCAAGGTCACCTCGTTCAACAGGCTTGCAGCGTATCCTCCAGGAAGAAGAGCCTGAACCCTTACCGGCTGCACGTGTCTTACCTGTACATGGAAAGCTGCTGTGGTTCCTTGATGAGCCAGCTGCCCGTGAGTTAACATGTCCTGTGGAGAAGCACTCTGTCCTGTAAAGCCTCACCAAAAAAAAAGGAGTGGTGTGTTTAGTATTGTTCTGATCAGTTTAATACCTTCCGCGTCTCCTATCAGTGGTCGTGTACACGGCATTGATTTTTGTAACAGGGAGATGGAAGAGGTCATTTGTCCTCTTACTGCAAATTTGGGGCACTGCGCGTCAAGCTAATGTGACACCAGATAGGAGTGGTGTGTTTAGTACTATTTTTATCAGTTTAATACCTTCCGCGTCTCCTATCAGTGGACGTGTACACGGCATTGATTTTTGTAACAGGGAGATGGAAGAAGAGGCTTAATCGGTCCTCTTACTGCAAATTTGGGGCACTGCGCGGTCAAGCTAATGTGACACCAGATAGGAGTGGTGTGTTTAGTACTATTTTTATCAGTTTAATACCTTCCGCGTCTCCTATCAGTGGACGTGTACACGGCAGTAATTTCTGTAACAGGCAGATGGAAGAAGATGCTTGGTCGGTCCTCCTAACTGTAGACTGTGTTGCTGTACGGGTGGCAGGTGGAGCCATTTATAAAGTACACACTGCTTTATAAAGCCATTTATAAAGTACACACTGGCTGCTTGAACCCAAGTTGGTGGCGGATAAGTCACGCAAGTCAACAGGCATTCAGAGCTAAAATACAGCAGCGTGTGGACCATTTTTAGCCCAAGGCAGCTCATCTCATCAGGCCTTTTTTACATAGGGTCACTTAACAGATATGGATTGACACCTGTCCTAGGGATCCCTGATACACACTTAGGACACAGAGCAGAATAGGGACTGTTCCCTCCCTACATAGGGTCACATGGCAGATAAGGGATTGACACCCCGTCCTCAGAGCCCTCTGATACACACTGACACAGATCAGAATAGGGAATGTTACCCCAACATAGGGACACTTGGCAGATATGGATTGACACCTGTCCTAAGGATCCATGATACACACTGACACAGATCAGAATAGGGAATGTTACCCCCAACATAGGGTCACTTGGCAGATATGGATTGACACCTGTCCTAAGGATCCCTGATACACACTGATACACACCTACTTGGATGGTATAGACATTTTTAGCAGCTCCTGGCCCGAACACCTGACCCACATAGGAGCCGTAATAGACCGGATTAGGGAGTCCGGACTGACCCTAAAGCCCAGTAAGTGCCATATAGGAACGTGTAAAAACCTCCCCAAGATAGTAGTATGGGCCCCAGAATGTGAACAGGCCTTCCAACAGCTCAAGACGGCGCTCATTAAATCACCTGTACTTTCTTCTCCTGATCCAACTAAACACTTTCTCGGCCATACAGACGCTTCTATGCTTGGATTGGGAGCAGTATTGAGCCAAGTCGGAGCAGATGGTGGCTAGCAACCCGGGGCTTATCTAAGCCGTAAACTTTTGCACAGCGAAGTATATTCACTGCCATTGAAAAGGAGTGCATAGCGGTGGTGTGGGCCCTCAAAAAGCCGCAACCTACTTGTATGGACAACCGTTTACCTTACTCACAGATCACAACAAATTTGGGGCACTGCGCGTGCAATCTAATGTGCCACCAGATAGGAGTGGTGTGTTTAGTACTATTGTTATCAGTTTAATCACTGTTACGCCCCCTATCCGTTGATGTGGAGCAAGACGCAGCAGCAGAAGAGGACTAAGCCGAGGAGGTTATGGAAGAGGATGGAGTAGGAGGAGTAGAGGAGGTGGCAGCGTACTGGCAGAGTACACGCTGTAGGGCTGACACACCTGCTTGAAGATAACTAACTGCTATTCAATCTATAACAGTGAAAAAAGTTTTTTGTTTTTAAATCCAAGCTATTGTGACACCAGTGAGTGAGTGGTGTGTTTAGTACTATTGTTATCAGTTTAATCACTGTTACGTCCCCTATCCGTTGATGTGGAGCAAGACGCAGCAGCAGAAGAGGACTAAGCCGAGGAGGTTATGGAAGAGATGGAGTAGGAGGAGTAGAGGAGGTGGCAGCGTACTGGCAGAGTACACGCTGTAGGGCTGACACACCTGCTTGAAGATAACTAACTGCTATTCAATCTATAACAGTGAAAAAAAATTTTTGTTTTTAAATCCAAGCTATTGTGACACCAGTGAGTGAGTGGTGTGTTTAGTACTATTGTTATCAGTTTAATCACTGTTACGCCCCCTATCCGTTGATGTGGAGCAAGACGCAGCAGCAGAAGAGGACTAAGCCGAGGAGGTTATGGAAGAGGATGGAGTAGGAGGAGTAGAGGAGGTGGCAGCGTACTGGCAGAGTACACGCTGTAGGGCTGACACACCTGCTTGAAGATAACTAACTGCTATTCAATCTATAACAGTGAAAAAAATAATTTGTTTTTAAATCCAAGCTATTGTGACACCAGTGAGGAGTGGTGTGTTTAGTACTATTGTTATCAGTTTAATCACTGTTACGCCCCCTATCCGTTGATGTGGAGCAATACACAGCAGCAGCAGAACAGGACTCAGTCGAGGAGGTTATGGAAGATGAGCGTGAACTGCTCAAGGCGGGAGGCGGAGTGGCGGATGGTTGAGAGGGGACAAGGAGGACAGCAGTGGTTGACGTGGCTGAAGATGCTGGACCAGGAGGAGGCTGGCGGCTTAGAGTAGGCGAGCTGCTTGTAATCATGTGTTGATCCCATAGGCGTCTGTGATGTGAGATCATGTGCCTACGCAAAGCAGTTGTACCTAGGTGGGTGTTGGACTTCCCACGACTCAGTTTCTTTTGGCACAGGCTGCAAATGGCATCGCTATTGTCAGAGGCAGACACACAAAAAAAATGCCACACTGCAGAGCTCTGCAATGACCGCATTCTGGTGGTATGATATGAGTGGCACTGTAAACTGGCAGAGTACACGCTGTAGGGCTGACACACCCGCTTTAAGGACACTGACTGCTATTCAATCTATAACAGTTAAAAAAACTTTTTGTTTTTAAATCCAAGCTATTGTTACACCAGTGAGTGAGTGGTGTGTTTAGTACTATTGTTATCAGTTTAATCACTGTTACGCCCCCTATCCGTTGATGTGGAGCAAGACGCAGCAGCAGAAGAGGACTAAGCCGAGGAGGTTATGGAAGAGGATGGAGTAGGATGAGTAGAGGAGGTGGCAGCGTACTGGCAGAGTACACGCTGTAGGGCTGACACACCCGCTTTGAGACAACTAACTGCTATTCAATCTATAACTGATGTTTGTTTCACAGGCAGAAAGTGCCCTAAAAGATGGCGGCTTGAACCCAAGTTGGTGGCGGATCAGTCACGCAAGTCAACAGACATTCAGAGCTAAAATACAGCAGCGTGTGGACCATTTTTAGCCCAAGGCAGCCCATCTCATCAGGCCTTTTTTAATCTAATGTATCGCCCAGTGTCAGTCCCTTCGGGATCCATCCCTCATTCATAAAGGTGAGGTAATCTAGACTTTTTTGACCTAGGCGACTTCTCTTCTCAGTGACAATACCTCCTGCTGCACTGAAGGTCCTTTCTGACAGGACACTTGAAGCCGGGCAGGCCAGAAGTTCTATCGCAAATTGGGATAGCTCAGGCCAGGTCAGCCTGCACACCCAGTAGTCAAGGTTCCATCGCTTCCTCAGAGTGTCGCATATATCTGCAGTTAAGGCGAGGTAGTCTGCTGTACTGTCGGTCGAAGTCAGCCTCTGAGGGTGATCCTCATACGCGTAGGACTTAAAAGGTCCGCATGTCCTCCATCAACAACACGCCTCAAAGGCCCTGTCCTTGTCAAGTGGGAGTCATGGGAGTGAGGAGGATGACTTCCACCTCTCCCCTGTTAGATTCCCGCAGCTGTGACATCACCCTTATACGCTGTGTAAAGTATACTTTTCAATTTATTTTGCAAATGCTGCATCCTTTCATACTTGTTGTAATTCGGTAACATTTCCGCCACTTTCTGCTTATACCGGGGGTCTAGTAGCGTGGACACCCAGTACAGGTCGTTCTCCTTCAGCCTTTTTATACGAGGGTCCCTCAACAGGCACGACAGCACGAAAGACCCCATTTGCACAAGGTTGGATGCCGAGCTACTCATTTCCCGTTCCTCCTCCTCACTGATGTCAATGAAGGTATTTTCTTCCCCCAGCCACGTACAACACCACGGGTACCAGATAGGTGACAACGAGCACCCTGGGATGCCTGTTGTGGTTGGTCTTGCTCCTCCTCTTCCTCCCCTGATAAGGCTGTTTCTGAAGGTGATGGTGACCACAACTCTTCTTCTTCCTCTTCACGCTCATCTACAGCCTGATCCAGCACTCTTCGCAGGGCACGCTCCAGGAAGAAAACAAATGGTATGATGTCACTGATGGTGCCTTCGGTGCGACTAACTAAATTTGTCACCTCCTCAAAAGGACGCATGAGCCTACAGGCATTGCGCATGAGCGTCCAGTAACGTGGCAAAAAAATTCCCAGCTCCCCAGAGGCTGTCCTAGCACCCCCGTCATACAAATATTCATTAACGGCTTTTTCTTGTTGGAGCAGGCGGTCGAACATTAGGAGTGTTGAATTCCAACGTGTCGGGCTGTCGCAAATCAAGCGCCTCACTGGCATGTTGTTTCGCCGCTGGATATCGGCAAAGTGAGCCATGGCCGTGTAGGAACGCCTGAAATGGCCACACACCTCCTGGCCTGCTTCAGGACGTCCTGTAAGCCTATGTACTTATGCACAAAGCGTTGTACGATCAGATTACACACATGTGCCATGCACGGCACATGGGACAACTTGCCCAACTTCAATGCCGCTAACAAATTTGTTCCGTTGTCACAAACCACTTTGCCGATATCCAGTCGCTGCGGAGTCAGCCACTTTTCCACCTGTGCGTTCAGGGCGGACAGGAGTGCTTGTCCCGTGTGACTCTCTGCTTTCAAGCAAGTCAAACCCAAGACGGCGTGACACTGCCGTATCCGGGATGTGGAATAGTACCTGGGGAGCTGGGGGGGTGCTGTTGATGTGGAGCAAGACGCAGAGCAGCAGAAGAGACTCCAGCCGAGGAGGTTATGGAAGAGGATGGAGTAGGAGGAGAGAGAGGTGTGGCAGCAGACTACCTGCAAGTCGTGGGCGGTGTCAAATTAACCTCTGCAGAGCCATGCATTCCATGCTCTTGGCAGCAGTCAGCAGGTTTTACCCCACGCGCAGTGTAGGTGATATACCAAGTTCTGACCATGCTTTGCAGACCAGGTACAGGCCGGACCCCTTGCCCCCAACACTGTGTGCCAGAGATGCTATTTCCTTTTGCACAATTGGAGTACAGGTTGGGATTGCCTTTATGTAAAAGTAATTTCGGCCGGGTACCTACCTCGCGTGTCCCAATAGCTACAAATTTTGAACGCCTCAGACTCCACCAGCTTGTATGGTAAAAGCTGGCGGGCTAATAGTTCGGACAAGCCAGCAGTCAGACGCTGGGCAAGGGGGTGACTTTCTGACATTGTCTTCTTACGCTCAAACATGTCCTTGACAGACACATGACTGTGGGAAGATGAGCGTGAACTGCTCAAGGCGGGAGGCGGAGTGGCGGATGGTTGAGAGGGGACAAGGAGGACAGCAGTGGTTGACGTGGCTGAAGATGCTGGACCAGGAGGAGGCTGGCGGCTTAGAGTAGGCGAGCTGCTTGTACTCGTGTTGATCCCATAGGCGTCTGTGATGAGAGATCATGTGCCTACGCAAAGCAGTTGTACCTAGGTGGGTGTTGGACTTCCCACGACTCAGTTTCTTTTGGCACAGGTTGCAAATGGCATCGCTGTTGTCAGAGGCAGACACACAAAAAAAATTCCACACTACTGAGCTCTGCAATGACGGCATTCTGGTGGTGGACACAGCATGCGTTGATTGGCGTGCTGTCGGGCTGACCCCGGGTGTCGATGCATGCTGTCTGACTGTGCCACTAGCTCCTTGCGACGACCTTCCCCTGCTTCCAACTCGTCTCCTCCTCCTCCCTGTCTCCCCATCTGAACTTTCGCCCTGTTCTTCTTCTTGACGAGCGGGCACCCACGTGACATCCATGGACGCATCGTCATCATCAACCGCTTCACTTGTATCTGACAACTCAGCAAAGGAAGCAGCAGCGGGTACAACATCATCATCATCATCACACCGTACGTCCATGTGTGTAATGCTGCCTGCCTGAGACATATCCCTGTTATCTACATCCTCTGGCAATAATGGTTGCGCATCACTCATTTCTTCAAACGGATGTGTGAATAACTCCTCTGACATACCAACTGAAGCGGCTGTGGTGCTAGTTTTGGTGGTGGCGGCAGGCGGGTGAGTGGTATCTTGAGAGGTGCCTGAAGCTAAGCTGGAGGAGGATGGTGCGTCAAGGTTCTGAGCGGAGGCTGTAGAAGATTGGGTGTCCTGTGTTAGCCAGTCAACTATGTCCTCAGAACTTTTCAAGTTCAGGGTACGTGGCCTCTGAAAACTGGGCATTATTCTAGGGCCAAAGGGAATCACAGCACCACGACCACGATGGCCCCTGCGGGGTGGCCTGCCTCTGCCTGTCATTTTTGTTGGGATTAGTGGTACTATGCGTGCAAGCTACTGTGAGACCAGATATGAGTGGCAATGTGCACTGGCACAGTTGTGCAGAGCACAGGCTGTAGGCCTGACACCCGCATGAAGATAACTAACTGCTATTCAATCTATAACAGTGAAAAAAGTTTTTTGTTTTTTTAAATCCAAGCTATTGTGACACCGGATCTAATTAGTGGCACTTGTCAGCGTATCCACTGTTAGCGTAACACACCCGCTTTAAGGACACTGACTGCTATTCAATCTATAACAGTGAAAAAAGATTATTTTTTTTTTATATACGAAATATTGT